CGGAACATCGCATCGCCGTGTGCATTATTCCAAATACACTGCTACAGTAGTGTTTAGTGGCGCCAGGCCGCAATACTCAATCCCTGAACAACTATTTGCACTAGCTCTGAGGGCAACGGGCAAGCGGGGGTGAACATAGGTTGAATAGTCGGCATTCTCATTGTTAAGCAAGGCAAACCTTGGTTGCGAAGCAGACATAGTGCTGCGTGCAAGAGGAACGCTTTGCGGAAGCGGTGACCACAGCAAGTGCAACTGGACACCGTGTTTTAATGCTTGCTTGGCCCTCCTTGTGGGTCGCAGATGAACTAAAATGTCCTCGTCTCATTGATGGCGCAAAAAACATCCACAAGCAGCCGAGACTGTTAGGTGAAACTTACCTGGTGTTGGTACTGGAGTTGATCGGTCCGTAGAGGGGGCTGGAGTTTCCCCTGCGTGCGACGACGAATTAAGTGCATGGTAAGAAATGATGTCTTGAAACCTCCGTAAACGACAGAGGGCTTTATGATCATACTTACACATGCGTCGGACAAATGGGAACAATTGAAACAGCAGGTTGGCCGTCGGCCAAGCAAGAAAACGGTGGGAACACAGAAGCACTGGGAGAGGAACGGCGAGGAGGTGTTCCTCAAATCCACTTGCTTGACACCAGCAGCTGACGTAATCGTTCCTCGTNCGGTGGGAACACAGAAGCACTGGGAGAGGAACGGCGAGGAGGTGTTCCTCAAATCCACTTGCTTGACACCAGCAGCTGACGTAATCGTTCCTCGTGTCGAATACCCGGTACCATATTCCCTTTCTCCTACGGAATTTTCGGGAGAACGGGTCCGTCACACTTCGTAGCCGACCGCCTGACGGTACTTCAGAGAAAAGCCGTTCTGGCCAACCGAAACACTGTTTTGCCAATAAACAAACAACACCAAACTAGAGTGACTACCACAAGGTGGGGTGACTGTCGCTTCGAGAGGGCCGAGTCCTAGTAGAGTCAGTCATGTACAATCGGGTGGTTGCTGAGCTTCGAGGAGTTCATTGGTGGTCGCGCAGCGAGAAGCATACACAAACCTCGCAAGCACCAAAACGGGTGTACGTTCATATCGCAGCGGATTGCGAGAGAATATGACAAAAGTCAACGTATTGAGGCGGGGACCTACTGGCATTCTTCCGCTGTGATACCGTTCTCAATCGTGTATGCTTACCGCTTGTGCTGACGCTCAGGGTAGACAGTCTGCGGTGCCCAGGATGTTCTCCCTGGGAGTAGGTTCAACACACCGGTCGGGCAACATTTCATGAAGCACTCTTTTCACAAAAATTACGATGCAAACTTGGTGGGCGACAACCTTGTTGAACACCAAGCAAAGAAACCTGTGCGTTTTTCGAGATTGACATCGTAGAAAACAACATCGTCCATGAAACCGACCTGACCCAAGACGTTTGAGCCCCCTTGTCCCAATATATGTACATTGGTGAGAGCATCGTGGCGGTATTTGAGCAATTCCAAGATATTTCCACGGTAACATCTTCGTTCTCTGTGCGGCTGCGGTCTTTGGAAAATATTTCGCATAAAACGGACAACGACCAATCGGTTACTTCTTTAATGCCATGGAACTCATGGAGCTCATGGAACTTCACGGAACATGCCACGCAATCTAATGGAGGCCCACGGTGTGCCATGGACCCCCATGGTGTGACGTTGAGCCGGCCATGGAATTCCGTGGAACTCGATGGGCGCCCTATGGAACTCGATGGGATATTCTACTCGGACTTCATGTGCATCGGATATTACGTGACGATTGCCACGTAACATGCATTGCAAGCGCCTTGGTTTGGGTCAACGCGTGGATCTCCAGGCAAAATCTACACGGGTTCGGCGGAGAACTGAACGAACGCCACGGTAGGCAATGGAATAATACAGGATATTGATGGAATTCCACCGAAATTGCTACTTCTATGGAACTCGCCGCGGAAACCTTTCACCGATTTCCACCTCCAAGGAACTCCACGGAGTATTTCGTCGTTCCTGGCACTTTATTTCGTTCAATAACAACCTGTGGCTCTCCATGGAGTTCCAATAATGCATTGCAAGGCCCTTAGAGTTCAATTGTAGAACTCCATGGAGATTCATGAATGTCCTTGAAAGGTTCCGCGTAGCGCCATGGATTCTCTGTGGACCGTCATTGGCCTCCATGGCATTCCACGAAAATCTCCGTAACAGTGACTAGCAATGTAGCGCACCCGCTACAAGACGATCTGGTTGAGAGTGAAGTGTCGAGCAGGCTCGCATGCCGAGAAAAGCGTTCTACTTGCGCCTCAACCCGTCAACGGGAAACAAACCAAGTCATACACACAGCAGAGTGCAGACTACCCAGGACGGTGGCATACCCGTGGACACAGCACCTCGACTGTAGTGCAGTGAATATGTGTTTCTTCCAACGCCAAGCACGGTGAAAAGGCGTCGGATATGCGTCCTGATGGCCACACGGCTTCCCTTTTACTCTTCCATCGTCTCTGCCGTACGCACTGAGCCTAACGATGTCCTTGGTCGTGCGAGCTGCATGCACAGGTGCTCACCAATGTTGGAAGTACATCATGTTCAACGATGGGTCCGGTGTTCACCCCTCCCGTCGCTTGCGGCGTTGGTATCACCGAGCCCCAACCATCTGTGTCACCTGCGACGATTGAAATGCCAAAGGCAAAGCACATTGTTGCCTTATTATTTGTGAGTTGAGTGCGGCGGATATCGCTTTGATCGATCGGCACCGCTAGGTCTTCGTTGCGGAAACAGCATCTCCCTGGTGACCAACAAACGCAAACGACACCCCGAAAGGGAAGCCTACCTCAGCCAAAAATCATCGATGGGTAGGGACGAAAAGGGATGCAGCTCGAAGCTGCTGGGCATCGAGAGGATATATTTTCGGCTGAGATCGAGAGATGGCAGTCCGCTCCGGATAACCACAACGACAAACCACTTTGTGTCGTTGTTGTCTTACGTTTCTCATAGCCCATCCCCGGTAGTCTTCTTTTGGCATCCTCGAACCATCTAGTGGCTAGGTCAGGGGTTCAAATGCCGGCATCCATATCTCAGCAAATTGTTTTTCTCGCTTCCGTTCCTTCCTGTCTGTGGAAAGCGCCACAGTGGACCGTGTATACACTTCGAGGGACGAGAGTGTTGCACTCTTCCCGCGTTATAATTCGAAGACAGATAATCCCCGCAGGAAGGATGCATAGCGGGCCTTAGGGAGAGAGAGAGGAGCCCTTCTGTGTGGCCGCAGAATGGAGCTCCTATCCGACAGAACTACCGTATGTCACACCCCTATCAAAATGGAACAGAACATTACACCCGTGTGACATGTTTTGGAGCGCTGGCAAATAGAACCGATATTCACGCGGTCACAGAAGATACCACATCCCTTAACTTGAGCCGCAAATACATATCCACGGAGCGCTACAATTATTCACACGGGTGCGGTAGGTCGGATTACGCACAAAAAGCACCCAAGCCTGCGCTAGAGCTATGGCGACCGACAACACTGAGGAGATGAACGAAGCACACAACACTGGTGCCGTGAGTCGGACTCCAGCGGTGTCGCCATTCCCATCAACTACGGTACCATATAGATACTCGGGAGTATTCTTATGTGGCCCCTGAAACTCCCGCAGCTCCCGCTGTGCATGTGACCGCCGTGTTGCTGAGGACCGCAGAGCAGGACCTACCGCTATCACTACCGCAACAAGACCTGCTGTAGACCTGCTGTGCCTGGCATTGCCCAATCTGCTGAGCTGAGGCCCGCACGGCATCACCTGAGGCCGAAAAGCAAGCCACACCGCCCGCCACAGAGTTTCGCAATAACCTCACCCGCAACCGAGAAGCAAGCTACACCACCAGCGACCCCCCCCCCCTCGTTATCGCACCCCTGTAGGCTGGGTCGGTGGTTGTACTTCATCCCACGGGTGAAATCACAACACCCTACATTTATCCCACGCCCTTGTTTTCGCACCCCCTGCTGGGTGGAGTCCTGTGAGTGCACTATATCACACGGGTCACACAAGATATCATACCCCTGCAGAACATCACAACCCCACACCACTGAGGTTTAACCAAAACATGTATGCATAGCTGGTATCACTGAAATAAATCATCAGTGCTGTGTAGACTTAAATAGACTCGAAATAAGTCCAGTACCCAGCCAGCCGGTTTTCCTCCACTCACTGAAAGACTCCACCACGTCCCGTTCGAATGTGGGTATATCTCGAACGGGTAGGTTTTCTGTGTGTGTATTTGTTGTTCCTAGTTTGGTATCACACGGGTGTGGTATATTGGGGGACATCAGAGACATGTCGAGTTAAACATGATCGGTAACACGCGACAGAAGCAGAATGAAGTCACGAGCAGCGCGAGGTTCTTTGCCACTTGGGCGTTCACGAACTCCGTGCCATGCAGGGGTGTTTTATTATTGTGTTTTGGGGGACGTTGCTAAAACGTTTTCCCCTCTTTCGCCTTTTTTTTCCCCAAAATTCGCAGAAGATCGGACTTCTATGTGTGTGTTTGTGTGTTGATCTATGCACATGTTGTTGTTGTTGTTGTTGTCTTCACAATAAAAACCATCCCGGTCTCTCTATCCAGTACCTCCTTCTGTCTCAATCTCTCCGTACTAATCCAGCACTTGACTCGGTCAACTCCGTGGTCACAGGCTAACGTACCTAGAAAAGGTATACCAAAATAAAATGGACCCCAAGGGTTAGCAGAGCGATAAAATACAAGAAAGCAAGAGAATCAGAAACAAATAAATAAATAAATAGTGGAACGTGCGCACCACCAGCCTGGGGGGTAGCCTTCCGGAAGGACCCCAAGGGTCAGCAGTACGTGCCAGTAAAAAGCAAAACAAAATGAAACGAAATAAACCAAAGACAGACGAGGACATAAACAAACTCGCACAGAGACAGGGATATCCGAAGAGACAGTCTGAACGCGACAGCAAACGGGGGAGAGGGCAACAGAAAAATAAAACTAGTCGCTGAAATCCAACCGCAATATGTCACGTCACGCGGTCGGTCTCTTCTCGCTTGCTTCCTTCCCGCGCCGTTTCCTCCCGCCCCCCTCCCGCCCCGTTGATTGGTGCCGTATCTAGACTATTTTCGGGCCCGCTGTCTCCTAGTTTGATGGCTCGTTGTCGGCTGGCCTTCTCCTCGCCCTTGTGCCAAGAGGCCATTAACCTCTCAGCTCCCTGTAGCACCCCCGCGTGCCACGGTACCCCCCCCTCCACCTTCGCCGCCTCGTCCCATGTACGGACAGATTATTCTGCATGCGCGAACATAAAGACAAAGGGCACCCCCTGTACACTTACTTGTTGTTGAGACATTTCCTACAAACTTCGGAGGGTACAACAAGCATGCTGGTTGAACTAGACTACTCCCCGGTTTTCCACCCTAAGGTGCTTCTTCTTTCATTCCTCTAGTTAGTCTACTACCACCTTCATGTGACTGCTGCTGCAATACGACGCATACATAATATAACCCGATCAAGAATATTTCTGCAACAAGGCCTCCTTAGTCCCACGAAATGGCTCTATTTCCCGGTTTAGCGACCGCCAGATGCTATTGAGGGTCCCGGTTTAGCGACATGCCCTGAATGGCGACCATATTTCGTCGTGACACTAGGAGTCGCTAAACCGGGGGGCCCACTGTATGGGAACTTGGGGTTAGGGCGACCCCGCTTTAGAGTCACAACATGGACAATGAATGGTTCTGAAAACGTCTCTAACGCGCGGAAGGAAGTGCCTTTAAGTTTCCGGGCGTGATAGATAACTCACCGTCGCCGGCGTCAACCGAGGCGATTCATGTGAAAAGCAATGATCGATTGCAGCAGGGATAAAAACAAGTCAAGACTACAGTAGTTCAGAACGAAAGAAAAACATCACAAACATGGCGATCACAACGTGGTGTAGGTCGAGAGTAACACATGTCCGCGCTTGATATACCAGCCATGTCCATCGCTGTCAAACCTACATCGATGTACACGTCCACCCCCTCGAACAGGGGGTGGGTATAGTGCTGCACAGGACGAGGTATTCTACACCACATCGTGTTGTTTATTGCAGATTGTAAACTTTGCAGTTCTCTGTTCTACGGACAGGTAGGTCAGGTGTGCTGATGAAGCATTTTTTTGGGGGTCCCGCTGTATGAAATGGTACCACCCCACCTCTATTTTGTATAGACTATCAGAAGGCACCCTGCTTTTGATAATTTAATTTTACTATTGATGTGGTCCTTGAAGCGGGAGTGGACGTAAGACAAATATAGTTAGGTTTGTGCTCCGTAGGCGTTTTTTTTGCCCTTTCTAGGCGTTTCAACAAAAAACACTGTCTAGGCGAAAGTTGCACGCTCAAAAAAAGTTTCTTAGGCGACATTATGTTTCCTCCCATCATTGGACTCTGTCGTCTGCCCCTCTGGCCCCTATCCTCCACTTCTACTCCGGGGTCGCATAGGAGGGGGGGGTTGGACCCCCTCCTGCAGTTCATGTATATCCAAGGGTAAGCGCAGCAACAGTGAGTAGAACTACTGCTGTGTCACAAACGCGAGCCAGTGATGCCGCGATCCAATCCGTGCATTATGCCGGAAAGAAAAGGTGGTACTTTTCTTTGGCCAAGTGATCACACACGCACACTACACGTGAGAGAGCCACAAGATGTGTGTGCTGTGTGCTGTGTGCTGTGTGCTGTGCGTGACGTGGCGGCTGGGCGGCCGCACTGTGTGGGGCTCCGTGGATACTTTGTAGGGGGGTGCCCAGAAAGAGGCCAAGAATAGGCGCAAACACCCCAGGTTAGGCGCAGGCGCCCCGAGAATAGGCGAAGGCGCCCCGAGATTAGGCGCAGCGCCCGGCTTTAAGGCGAGCTTTGAGGCGATTTAATGAACAAACGGTGTTTTTAGGTGCAAGCTCTCAAAATTAGGCGTTTTAGGCGAGCGCCTACAGAACACAACAAGCATAAATAAGTATAGTGGAGACGACTGACCGCCTTGAACAGCATTTATTTTCCCGTCTCAACCTATGATATGACGCTAAAAGGCCACAGTATGCGGACCCAAACATGGTGCGCCCTATTTGCAGTGAGTTGCCCAGGCCCCATCCCTCTGGCCCAAGTGGCCGCCTGCCGTTTTGTGCACTCTGGGGGCAGTCTATAATGTAACGTGAAGTACACAGATACATGCCATGGTACATACATGTTCAGCAGCAGTAGCTCCTCGCTGCGAAATGTTTGGGTTGGGAGAGTTGGACGCGAACAGCAATTTTTTGTCATGAACGCGACATAGTCTACTTTTGTTTTTTATACATCTGGCTGTCTGCCCATCTGCCGCCTCTTTGTCCTGTTTGCTCCGTTACTCACATGCCCTGGTGCGTAGTGCCTGGTGCTGGTACGTTTCCCTTTGATTTTTTCTTTAGGCGGGTGTGGGAAGCGTCCTCCTTTATTTTTGTTGTAAATTTTGATCGGTTTCCGAGGGCTCTTTTCTCGAACGGTCGGTCCGGTACCCTTTCTTTTCTTTCTACTCATTTTGTTTCTTTTTCCGAGTGGTTTGTACCCAATTATTGTTTTTTTTTCCCGCGGCGTCATATGTGCCGTGTTTTGAGACCACGGGCTCCCTTTTTTTTGTGGACTAGTCTCAAGCAAATGTGAGAAACAACAACAACAACAACAACAACAACAACAACAAAAAGCTGTTGCAGAATACATGGTGTAGCGTAGCATACGTCAAGCGTCGACCATTCTTGCCGGCCTGTTCACATTCACTGCAGACCCACAACATGGTGCGCTCTATTTGCGGTGAGTTGCCCCGGCCCCATCCCTCTGGCCCAAGTGACCGCCTGCCGTGTTTTGCACTCTGGGGGCAGTCTATAATACAACGTGGAGTACTGTACACATGTTCAGCAGCAGGAGCTCCTCGCTGCGAAATGTTTGGGTTGGGAGAGTTGGACGCGAACGACATATTTTTTGTCATGAACGCGGCATACAAGCTGTCGCAGAATACATGGTTTGGCGTATGCATACGTTGAAGATCGACCTTTCTGCGCCGGCCTATTGTAGTCCACATCTACCACACACAGACGTGTCTGCATGGAACGAAAAGGTGCCAGCTAGCGCAAGCAGCTGCATCCTTGCTCGCAGCGCACGCACCGAATGGGACGTGTTTTCTGTGTCGCTGTACTACTACACCAAGCAGCAAGCACTTCACAATAATACAAACGCACACGAGGGCTGAACGAATTTGGCGCCCACGCCGTTTAAGTGTGTCTCAAACAGCAACTTGACCACGATAGTGGGGCTCTGGCCTCATTGCTAACCCTGGACAGCAAAAAATGCCCGGAGCACTACCAGCTTCCCTCAACGTCTAACAGGCGTCACCTGTCGATTCTCCCCGAAGGAGACTGGTTACAACAGGTGCAGGCGACGGCGATGGTGATGGAGTGTGCAGCCCAAGGGCAACGTGAAATGAACAGATACCCCAGGTAGCGATCGCCAGGCGGAAGGCGCGGCAGTCGTTCGCCCCTATGCCGATGAGCATCTCTTACCCCCCAAACGAACCACGTGCGGTGCCAACCAGCGCTACCGCTTCACCGCCTTCACAATGGGCAATTGAAATTGTGATACGTCCGCCGCAGGTAGTACGCGTTGCGTACAACATTAAAAATGCTCGCAAAAGGGATATATGGAAACCGAAGCCAACCGGAAGACGGGGCATCAACACCAACAGCGGAGACAGACGTGGAGATCCGTGCCAGAGCAGCAGCGAGTCGAATAAATAACTGGTGCAATGCCGAGTAATGCTCAAATCTCAGGTGATCGATAATTCGGGTGGCTCGGTTCTTTGTGCTTGGAGCTCAAAGCGGGTGGCTCATGGCGGAGCGTGGATGGGTAGAAACGTGTGGAAAACGTATCGAAAAGGATTGTAAAAGTATTGTATTCATCGGGGGCGTGCCAGTGCTTGTCAAACTTTCACGGTATCTGGGCACGCCTTCACTCTTTGTCACTCAACGAATCTCTCTGAATCTCCACCAAATACCTCTCGCAACCAAGGAATATATGTAGAAAGTTCCTATCCCTCCGCATCTCATCACTGTTACTTTCGTACGTACGTACCGAACATCTCAACCGTCATACTATGCTACGAGTACCCCCAATATATCTAATA